ATATATAAAGTAAATATTTTTTTTTAACTTTTATTATTATCCCTCACTTCATAATGTGTAGGATTCTCTCCTCCTGGCCCTTCTTCTTCTTCAGTTAAATAAATAACTAAATAATATTAATAATAATAATAATAAAAACAAAAATTATGAAAGATAAGAATAAAATAGAGATAATAAAAAGGGATTTCAATATTCTAAAATGAAGAATGTATAGAATTTTCTCGTAAGAGCTAAACCCAATAGAAAGAGGTAGAGAATTTTTGTTGTAGTGTTGTAAATGATTTAGATCTCTTTATAAAATTATCATATTAATTGATATTAAAAATATAACAAATAAATATCTTATTTTTCATTTAGTTAGTTATTGTAGTCTATACGATAATAAATTATAAAATTTATCATAATGTCAAAAAGTAAAATGACAATGAGTTTCTCTATTTTTACCCATTAATTTAACATAATAAAAAAGCAAAACAAACCTAGTTCAAGATTGAGCAAAAATCAATGTTAAAAATTAGTCTTTTAAATATTTATTGAAAATATTTTTGAAATAAATAAATATGAAATATTCATGCATTGTGAATATTATGATAGACTAAAAAATACTTGGAGTTTTAACTCAATTTATTAAACATGACATATAAATGTTGCAAATCCTTTAATATTCAGTTAAATTATCATTGATAAAAAAAAAAAAAGATAGACTAACAGTTAGTCATCTTTATTACCTTTATTAAATTAAACAATTAGAAAGATAGAATTTTTTTTTTATTCTTAAGAAAAATATCACATTTTAGAGGATATTAGAGTACAAGGAAAAGAGAAGTAAAAAAATGTAGAGAGAAAAAGTCATAGACAAATATATATTTTTAATAATATTTTTTCTTAATTTAAATAACTTAAAAATTCTCATTTTCTTTTCTTTTATATTTATTTTTCTCCTCCTCCTTTTTAATTTGATTATTTAATCTTCATTTATTTTATTATTAATAGAAATTTTTAACATATTGTACCATCATTAGCATGTTTAGGAATGTGTTTAAAAAAAGTAACCGAAAATTTTTACTTTCCAAAGTAAAAAAATAAGAAACAAGGAGAGACTTATTTTAGATTGAACGAAGGTTCAGAGGATTTTAACGTCAAAACAACAAGACTACATCTCATTGAAAAACAAAAAAACCTACCATAGATGTAGTTATTTTTTTACTTTACAATTTTTCTTTTAGTTTCAAAAACATCATTTTTTATAAAAACCAATTCCTTTAGTTTTTTCATTTTTAAACAAAAAAAAGATAGTGTTCTTTCAATATCAACAAATATAAATAAAAAAAATAAAAGACAGTCGGAAGCAAGGATTATATATATATATATATATATAATCACTTAT